TTGAGTAAGATAACTGTTATGTGAAACGTAACATTACGTTGTTACGTTGTTGAGGCGAAAATTGAAACTTACATTTAAGTTATTTGTAACATCAACATAACATTACTTGTTACATTAAATTGTGTAATAGTAATGTAACAATAACATAACTGTGTTTAGTAGGTTTGTATTTATTTATAGGAATTGCATAAGCACATTTTCTATACCATTTAATGCAAAAAAATTCAGCTTTAAAAAGTAAATTGTAAATACTGGTTAATTCAAAATTCTAGATAGAAAATGCAATTTTTTCAATCTAATTAAATTCAAAAACAATTTTTCTGTAAAAATGGATCATGAATGTTATTTAATTAAAAATTATGACTAAGAAATGCATTGTTTCAACCCATGTAAATCCAAAAAATATTATATTACAATATATTCTAACAAATTAAGATTAGACTAACGAGCTTATTTAAACAAGGACAGCGTTTTTTATTATAACAAAATTTCAATAGCTATAAGCAATGTAATTTGTTGAAGTGGCTGAAGAAGACCAATCTAGGTCGAAACATGTACCACGTATAGCGTTGATCATTTTATGTATAATGCTTATAGCTATTTAAAATTTTGTTATAATAAAAAACGCTGTTATTCTCGTTTATATAAGCTCGTTAGTTTAACCTAATCTTAATTTGTTCAAATACAATATAATATTTTTTCGATTTAAATCGGTTGAAACAATGTATTTTCTAGTTATAATTTTTAATTGAATAACATTCATGATCCATTTTCACGGAAAAACTTTTTTTGAATTTAATTAGATTAAAAAAATTGCATTTGCTATCTAGAATTTTGAATTAATCAGTATTCACGATTTACTTTTTAGAGTTGAATTTTTTTGGATTGAATGTCATAGAAATCTGCTTATGCAATTCCTATAAATAAATACAAAGGCATTGGGCATTGAAATGGATTCAGATTTTCAGAAGTACGCGTTTGCGAACTTCAAAATGAATTTTTTAAATCTATTTCAATCCATTCTCGTTTACTGATATTCAGTATATTCAGTATCAATATATTCAGTATATTCGGTTGTGTTTGCCGCGCTTTGTGTACTGCTCTCGATCGAGAGCACTCGAAACGTTTTTGAACGGGTCACTTAGGTAGCGTTACAGTTCTCTCAACTAGTTTCTGAACGGCGTTTGAGAGATTGGGAGCTCCCGGGTGTCGTTTCTGAACGCAGCCCTGGCCATGCCGCGCCGGCCGGCGCGGATCTCCTCTCTTTTCTTCTCCCCACCAACGATTGAATAAGGATAGAGAATAAGAGTGTAGCCCTCTCACTCTAACTTCTGCCTCACCGAGAACAATAGGACGCGCAGTCTATTTTATAAGTCTATAGTTTATACTTTATAGATAAGAAATTATTTAAAGACATATATAATATATAAAAGGTTATATATTACAAATTAAATATTTGAATAATACGTAGCGTAACGATAACATATACTAAATAATAAAAATATATAATATATAATAGAATATATACTGGAAAGAATAAATTCTTTGCACAAAGTATCATTAGCTCAGCGTTAGCGTATAAATCTGATGTTTTAGGGATCTCAAGTTCAAATCTCGATGTGTTTTCAAAAATTGTAAACCTGCGTATAAAGTGTAATTAATAAAATAGAAAATATGCGAAATAGTTAAACACAAATTAATAAGCTCTAAAAATAATAATATATATGTAATCATATAAAACAAGAAAGTTCAGTTTTTTTTTAAATCTTTTTTCTCAATGTATCTATGTGGATATTTTGAAGAAATTCTTAGAAAAATTGATTCGAAATGTCGATTGGATTTCCACGTGGATTCTAGTACCATTTTTGAGCGGATAGTCCACTCGATTGGTATAAACGTGAATTTTACCTGGATAATCGACGTGATATGAACATCGATCGATTCCACGTATCTGTTGTCATCGGGTAATGATAAGGTTTGCTTGATATTTGGCGTCAATTTATCGTCAGGTTTTATCGCCAAGGTTCGCTCGATATTTGGCGTCAGGTTTTGTCGCCAAGGTTTGATCAATATTTGATGTCAGGTTTTGACGCCAAGGTTTGCTCGATATTTGTCCTCAAGTTTTGTCGCCAAGATTTGCTAACAAATCACGAGCCTATTGCGGACACAGATTTCATGGAATTTGTCGACAAATTTTGCGTAAATTTGATGCCAATTTAGCAACAATTTGTTACCAAATTGTTTACTGAGTTTATCTTCGAGGTTAGAATCGTCGACGAAATTTAGCAAACCACATCTTTACAGTTTGAAGGGTTGGTGCACGGTCAAAGTAAACCTCTTGAATGTTTTTTGTCACAGCGCCAACGGTTATTCCTTTCCGAAACTCGTAAAGCATCACATGTCGAAAATGCAACTTTTTGTCCATCTTCAATGATTTTTTTCACAACTTAAATTCAACTAAACAAAACACTTCTGATTCTCAAATGACACCTATAACTGCCATCTTTTCAACGATATATAATATGCATAGATAAACAACAGAGTCGCCATGCTATTTCACCAGTTCCAAATGTATACGAATCGGGCACGAACTTTTGCACTGACCTAATAAAATTGATTTGGATTGTGATAATACTGACAGTTCAATCAATTGTGGATTGTATCAATCTACAAAGTTTTCACGATGTTTTGCGGAGAGAGAGGTCTCGCTATAGTTAGATCCAAACGTGGCCCAACTGCTGCAATGAGCGGAACAGCCAAACAACAATCGCAGTCCTCCGTACTGGTCTCATTCACTCGAAGAATCCTATCATATGGCCGCAAAATACCATCGCATGGTCCACCGGGACGCAAACGGTTTATGTAAACACCTCGTTCGTAAAGACCATCCGATACCGAAAAGCCAAAATCTTCATAGACTGGATCCTTATGAAGTGATACGTGCACTACTTGTTGGGACCTACCGTTGGAACTACTGCTATGTTCTTGTGTCCTGATAAAAATAAAAAAAAGAAAACATTACACAAATAAATTATTGTTGTTGAAAAAATCTTGATTATGAATTAATAAATTGATACCCCGGGTAAGATGGTATTGATAAGTCTAATTGTCCACTGTCTGTAGAGGTGGTATCCCAAAGTCTTAATATTTCCGGCATGGTACCATTACTATCTCCCATTTCGCCCCAAGAATCCACCGCGCTGTCTACACTAGGAAGACTTTCTCTGCCGGAACGTAACGCACCATTCGGAAATTGCGTTTGAAGCGTATCGCTTCCAATATTAGACTCTCTACAGTAATCCCTGCAAAAATTTTCTTTCAGATGTCTTCACCAAAATTCTTTTGGAGTAATCTATTCTTTAATTCTTTGAAAACATAACACCAAAAACATAAATTCACTTTTCTAAACAAAAAGCAAATGTAATTTTTTATCACAAATGTTTAAGGCGATCCTAAACTGGAATCAAACTCTAAAAATGTTTTACCGACGATTTTTGAGTGTATGCGTGCGATGTTGATGTAATAGTGTATAGTAATGTGTTCATGTTTACTACCATATCGATACAGGGTGATTCAGAACAACCTCGATGTCCTTGTAAAGACGTATTCTTCCTTGCTGAAAATGTTCGATTAAAACCGATTAAAACGTAATCCGTTTTAATCGGTTTTAATCGGTTAAATCCGCGCCCGGATTAAAAAGTAATCGGTTTTAATTCCGAACGAATTATAATTGGTTTTAATATTACTTTTGCGGATTATTTCCAATCTGAAATCATTATATTCTAATCCATATTGTTGTCAATTCAAATAAATCCGAATAACCGTATGGATATATAATATCCCAAATAATCCGCCTAAACCGTATATATATTTTTTTAATATCTAAGTTTGTTTCAGTTACAAAAACACTGATT